GGTCACCAGTTGTTAATGTGTTAAATAAATTCATTTGTACATACATGAAACTATAAAAAGATTTATGTAATTATTGCTTATTAAACTAGTTATTTAAAATTTGACGAAAAAGCAAACTAATAAATTAAGAAGATTTTTAAATAATAGTATATATTTTATATTTGTTATTAATAAATAAATTAATAATAATGAAAAATGACATTTCTTACTCAATGTAAAGTATATAATACATTTATAGTTCTAAATTTATGAAGAAATAGTTTAAAAAAAAATTGTTTTTCTATTAAAAAATAATGTGTTATCAATAAAAATTATTGAACTTTATTAAAATTAATCAACTTTGCAATACTTGTTGCAATTTTTTTAATATAAGGAAATTTAAGAAAAATATAAAATGAATAACAACTTCAATAGTAAATAATTAAGTACTCTGTAAAAATATTTAGATATAAGATTTTTATGAACATAAAATTTGTTTATAACACAACAGTAAATATATTAATATTATTTAAAAATACTTGTGAATTGTTTATATGTTCGGAAAATAACATAGACATGACTCATACAAGTTTGGATATTTTACGTAATTTTTTATTTTAAATTTATTTTTATCATTATTTTTATTTATATGATTAGCAAGAAAGTGACTCCAAGTAGTAATAAAATTATTTAATATTTTTCATCAACTTTCATTCAACTTTGATTGGTGGTTCTTGCACTGGAACTGGAATTCTATACATTTGACAAAAGAAATAAATGAAATGAAGAAAATAGAAAAAGTAAAGTGTATATAAAGATATAAAAAGATAGTACATACTTTCCACTTCTTCGAATTTTCAAAGCATACGTGACGCTACATACTTTGTCGTTAGCAACATTACGCCATTTATCTGAGTTATTGTGCGTAGAACTAAATAATATTTTCCTCTTGGTTGAGGTACACAAAGGAGTAAGAAGACGATTGGTCGATGCTGTTGGCATATGTTTGGTTACATTTGCTTTCCTCAGTTTCTGGACTCGTGTCCATGTGTTCGGACACGAGTCGCTTTCATAGTGTGCTACTCCGGCGTGCCCGCCAACTTCGGTTACACTCGACTTCTTTCGACATCCCGAACACACGGACATGGGTAACTTTCATTGTGTGCAATCTCACAGTGGCACAGGGAGAGGGTACGATTTACCCACGATCTGACAGCACTGGCCTATTTTGTCTGTCTCGAACCCTGAAGCGGAGCACATGTTAGCGCGGCTTTATATCTACGAATATATTAATCAATAAATAGTTAATCATCATTTATACTGGCTACCTCAATTTATTTGTTTACCTCATGCATTCACAATCTCATGCATTAACAACCTACATACTACGAAGCGTGGACTTATATCATCTCGATACTAAGCCTGTATGTAGATATATAGGAGCGATATAAGGGCACGAATAATAAACAGAGATAAGAAATAAAAGAGAATAGAAGAAACACAAGAATAGAGAAAGACAGAAATAACAGAGATGTCGCGTGTAGGCGGCAAAAGAATAAGGTACAAACGAAATCAACGGTCGAAATAAAAAACGGTGTATGGTCTGTCTTTGTAAGTTGTGTAAGTGAGTCTGGAAGGTTTTTGAACGATACCAATGCTTTGTCTATTATACTTATTTTTTTTAAATATATCTTATCAGTAGGATTAAACTGGGTGTACGTAAACCTCGCACCTCTACACTAAACCCAATCCTACATGTATATATATATATACGATATATATAAAATAAATATATTAAATAAAAATATATTTAAGCTTTGTTTATTTATTGTACGT